GAGTTTCTGGTTCAGGAGCAGTCATGCCTTAGGGATGATTATTTGCAGTCCTCAGATTGAGGCCAGGATATGTGAATTATGAACAAGCACAAACACATCCCCATAAAAATCATATGCAAATAAGACATACAGATAGGTGGAAAAAATAGAGTTGTTTATATGGAAATGCTGAAAAGTCTCAGTCAGGATGAACAAGTTGGAGACAACAGGGATATAATGGGAATGCTGGAAACCTGTTTAAAGCGTGATAACCATAGAAGATTTATATTAGACAGTAAATCCGTGGAAGGACAGAGTTGCATGCACTGGTAGTGGCGTTATTGTACTTTGTATGTTGCAGAGGGTATTTAGTGCAATAAAACTGTTAGGAGGAACAACTTTTATCAGAGGATCATGATAGATGGAAAAAACCAGTGGAAGTAATATAATACTTGGAAGATACTATTGTGCATTCACCTCCTCATCCACCAACTGACCAACACTATAGTGTCAATGTTGAGGTGGAGAGAGAAATTGTGAAGGTAGCTAGCTATAAAGCAGACAAAATACTGTAGAAATTATCTTCACACTTACTAAGCAAACATCCAGCACATGACAAACTTGCATTAAAAAAATATAGGTATGGAAAACATTTTTTTCTTTGATAGGTATGGCTTATAAATGTAAATTGGGGGCACATTTGAATATATTACTCTTTGTTACTATTTACATACGTTTATAGTTTTTAAAAGTGTTTGAAACCATCAGTAATGTTTTGCAGTGACATTTCAATTACAACCTATGCAGAAGGAAAGTCTTTTCTGAAACATGTTGGGCATAGTAAATGTTTTTTGAAGTACCTGACAATGCCTTTTCATCTGTTTTGGATACTAAAGTGCCTTTCCCTCTTGCTGCTTCCACCAATAAATAGGAATGACGAGAAAAGATGGTCCAGAGCAGGGATGCAGAGTCCCACGCCTTGGTGGCAAATCCAGCCTTCCTGGGGTCTTCCTCTGGCCCCATGGGATTCCTGAAATGCCCCCATCTCCTGCCTGGACTGCCAATCATTTGGGTCCCCAGCCTTTGTGCAGTTTTCACTGATACTGAAAGGCTGAAATGCTTAGTTTCAGCCATAAAAGCTATGATCAAATATACACTAGTTTTTCTTTAATTTTCCCCTTTTGCTTTGGCCCTACCTACTATGGGAACATGCCTTTCAAGTACATTGCTACAACTGAATTTGACCTTTGGACTGAAAGAAGTTCAACAGTTTTGCTTTAGAGCTACACTGAGAATTACAGATTAGCAGCTTTCATTTACTTTCTATCTCCTTCCCTGTTTTTTCTTTGGACAATTAGAATCTGTTGCTAATGCCAAGCTTTTTTATTGGTGTGAAGAGAAAGCTCTCTGGACAAATGAAGGCCAGATGGCATTAATCTCAGAAGTCTTAAAAATATCAAATATGAAATTGCTGATCTTTTGACAAAAGTATGCAGCATCAATAAAATCAGTCTCATCAAAATCAGCCTCCTCATGATAGGACTGGAAGGTAGCCAATCTAGCATCATTTTTAACAAATATATCCTTGGAAGAGGAAGCAGAGAGTTGGCATAAATGGATAATTTTTCACAATGGAGAAAAGTAAAAATAAACAGTGGAATTTCCTAAGGATCCAAGCTGCTCGGACCCATGCTGATATTCAACATATTCACAAATGAATATAAGCTTGCCATGTGAAACAATCTGTAGGCATTTCAATAGCCACCAGCATGGCTGTTTGCATGTGTTATCTGAGCCAGTTTGCTGTGGTATCATTTAACAGGGCTTCCACCCACTTTTCCATAGAAGGTAGGTGGACGTCATAGAGCTTTGGGATACTGGGCCCAATTATTATTATTTTCTACATGGTAAATTACCTTATATTCCTTTATCAATATGTCAAATAGCAGCACAAGTTCCAATAGTAGACTTTAGGAAATTCCACTGTTTACTTCTCAATTGTGAAAAATTGTTCAGTTATGCCAATAAATAGAAAACAATCAAAACTCAATACATTCCTTGTCTGGCCAACTATCTGAGAACCTATATTTCTTCTGAACTTCAGAATTAAAATCCTAACAATACCATAAGGCCAACTAAAATGAGTGGCAATCTCAGACTGTAGCCTGATCCAAATGCTTGAGAAACTATAAATATACAGGCAATGAAATGAGCTGAAATAACAGGGGAGCAATGAAATGTACTGAAATACTGTCATACTTGAAAGTACAACATTGTAGGAAGGGAATATTTTGGCTTCTTACATATACTTCTCTTTGTGATTTTAAATCTGCTTCTAACCATTCATCAAAATTTGGTCCTATATGAAAGTTGATTTATAACATCCATCCATCTATGAATATAAATGAACATATGCATGTATGTATGAAAGTAAAGTTCAAAATGCTGTTGTAATCAAGGTTATAGAACAACAGTTGCCCTCTAGCATTGCATAAGTAACATTCTGAAGTTATCCTAGCTTTCATAGGATGTATCTGAACTGAACTGCACTGTAAGACAAATGAAAACATATTTAAAGTCTTTCAATCTAATGCTCTTCTTGATTCTGGCCTATTCATGATACCAAGCTAAATTATAAATTCTCTATCACAGATGCAACCAAAGATCAGATCCTAGGCAGTAATTTGTTGCTTTTTAAATGCTTTCTTGTGAGCTCTGCAACATCCAAAATTTTGGCATTGCACTGGGTGATCCAGGATGAAGAACTTCATCTGAAGTTCACCAGAAATGTTGCAGAGATGCTGATACACTTAGGTCATGTACACACAGTGACTGTTCTGTTTTTTCTGCCACACAAGGCTGAATCTTCAGCCTTCCCAGAGGGAGGATGGTAATGTGCCGATAGCACTAACTGCTGTCTCCAAGGAGCATCCTAAATGCCTCACTGCCTTTCCTGCCTAAATGCAGCACCCAGGATTGGAAGATGTTATATATGCTCTTGCCTGGAAAACTCATGCTCTTCCCAATTCAGAGCTTTTAGGGACAACAGGCAACCCTGGAGGAATTTTAGACTTTGCTGGTAGCATTATCTCCTTGAATGACAGTTTTATGCTTGGACAGAGTCTCTATATCTTTTTCTACTGTTTCTTTCCCCTTTGTCCTTCTTGTTCTTTCGACAGTTTGAGTCTATCATGAAAGTCAATGGCTGTTTTACAGGGGTGGATGGAAAGGTCTCTGGACAACTGAGGGCAAAAGCCTCTTAGTTTGATGTTAGGAATGCTGATTTATCTCCCTGTTTATGTCTTTTTTATTAGGCCATCATATAAAAGGAAAGCCATTTCCACCATAATAGGCAAACAATGACATTCCTCTGGAATTGGGGAGCCAGCATTTAACTCTTGGAGTTCAGTACGACTCAGAGACCTAGAATGTCTGCTGCCTGTTTCATGCTTTCTTGAAGTGGTTACAGGAGTTGCTTCCTCAAAACATGGTCTTGTCTCACGCAGCTCCAATAAAATCTGGCTAGCAGAGTAACGTGGACAGAAAAAATGAGATGGTTCATGGCAGCATTCTCTTCCTTGGATCACACCATATTAATGTGCCTTCACCTATGTTGCTCAGGTTGCTACAACAGCAAATGGTATCTTCATATCTTCAGTACTTTTTAAATTGCTTTTGTCTTCAAGGCTTGATCAAAATTAAATTCAAGCAATTCCTTATGGTAAACAAGCATTGCTGGCATATGAAAAAGATGGCAGAACACAAAAGTTTCTGCCAGAACCAGCATTCCTCCTTTTGTACCAGCACACAGATGTGTTATCAGCACTTCAGTGACTTTTTTGTCTATCTCCCCAATTTCTACTTACACAAGTATTTCCAACTGAGTACAATCCTGTATGAACGAACCTTTCTGTGTAGGCCCAGCTCCTGTACTGGGTATAAGATCTATTGCTTTCCCCTTGCCTCCTGTGGCTTGCCCATTATGAGAATGGAATGGGTGGCACTCACCAAAGATAGCACCATGGCTGCTATCACGAGGAAGAGTGAAAGCCCTATTGTGGCCACTGCCTTCCCACTGCTTCCCCAGTGCCCAGCAACCTACCAGCACGGAAGTCTAGGTTGGGTACCCCAGACTGGTTTCTCCCATTAAGGGAAGCCCCAGCAAGAGACTGAGGCTATTAGCATTGGTTCCAATGGAAGGAAGAAAGGCATTCTTTCTGGTGGAATCTTTCTTACTAGGGATTCAGGTCTGGTAATCCCAGGCCTATGCCTGGCAGGAAAATATGACCACCTGTTGCTATTTATGCCACCTTCTCAGCATTCAGGGTACGGGGACAGATCAAAATGGCAATAGAGGGCACTTGAATTCAGTGTGGCGAAGGGTTTTATTGTTATGGGGATAAAAATGGAGTGGAGAACTATGTAAGCTGCTTGAGTTCTTCACAGGAGAAAAAATGGCAGGATAGAAATATAATGTAAGGACAGTAATTACAATTTTTTTGGCATTCTCCAAGCTTCTTTTTTCTGGTGAGCATTTTAATCAAATGCTGACAAAAAGCTCAAACTGTTGTGAACATTCAATTTGAAGATTTTGCAAGGCTTAGGACAAGCAACAGGTTACTTCATTTTAATATTACATTTATATCCCACCTCTTTTCCTTCTGCCAGGGACTCAAGGCAGCTTACATGTTCCCCTCCTTTCCATTTTATCCTTGCACCAGCTCTGTGAGGTAAGTTAGACTGAGCCTCAAGCTGATATATTTGCTTTCTCATGTCTTTAAATGAGAATGACTTTCCAGATGTAAAACAGTCTGCATTGCACATTTGCCTAGAGAACTTTCACAGATGAATTACTGGGCTTTCTCATTCTTGAAGTGCTGACTTTGAAGCTGACACTCTTCAGCTTCCTAGACCATCTCTTGTGGAGAGCTGAAATGATCACAGAGTGTATCACACACCCCTCCCACTCTTCCTTGAAGGATAATGTGGAATTAGGTACAAAGAGAAAGCAAACAACTCACAGAGTTTCCAGACTGTGGAGTCCTTCAAAGCCATGTATGCCCAGGTTCTGGATCTGGTTATTATGGAGGTGTCTGCAAAGAGGAAGGAGATTCTCAAATTCTGAGCAAATTGAGTTTTTAACTTCTTGTAACATCTTTTGTAAGTGGAATACTGCCAAACACATTAAGAAGGCTGCACTGAGACAAGTATTAATGAACTTCCAAAGCAGTTGAATACATTCAGAATTATTAGAGCTTATTGGAGAGGAACATATGCAATTGCTGTTTGTATCCAACCCACCCTTCCCTAACCTGGTGCCTTCCATATTTTGGATTTCAACTTCCATCAGCCTTAGTCAGTACTCAGATATGTTGGCATCTGTAGTCCAAAACATCTGGAGCGCACCCAGCTGGAGAAGGCTGCAAAAGACTATCATGACAACTGATGGATGTCTCGAATTAGCTAGTTTTCAAAGGCCACTCCATCCCATACGCCAGCTTTTGTTGTAATCCTGAGGATGCCATTTTGAACACAACGAAAGCAGGAGGCCTCCCCACCCCAACCCTCCTGTTAGCCTTAATTGACCTCTTCTTTTTTCCTACATGAAGCTTGGATGTATTCTAAACCCCATCCTGAACTCCGCCTTACCTCTACCCAAGTTAGTCTTCTAGCATCAGTGATGCAGTCTGAAAGGTGATGGCTGGTATTTTGGGGTTCATGATGTCCTAAAATTGTACCAACAGGAATTCCTCAGTAAAAATATCCAGGGAATTGCACTTGGCAAGGAATTTTTTTTTTTTTTTTTACTAAGGATTACTATTTCTTGCTGCCATTGCTAACTTGCCCACTTGAACAAGCAAGGTCTCTGCAGGGGCAGGAAGTAGTTGCACCTTGTCATCTGCCTCTGTCTGGTTGATGAGCAAAAGTGAAAAATGCAGTTGCTGCTGCTGCTGCTGCTGCTGCTGTGGACTGAGTCCCACCCACCCAAAAAAGCTCCAAGGGGGAGTGTATCTCCCCATTGCCTAGAGAGAGCAGGCAACCAGTTTGGAGGTACGGGAGGGACTCAAGAATCAGTGGTGTCCCTCCCAGGGTAGATGCCTGAGAATGTTGACCTTGCCCTGACATCAGCCCTAGGGAAGAGGAGGCATAAAACACAACTCTTTTGTTGCTTCTGGAAACTGTCCAAAGCAACCATGCTGTTGCCACTTCATCTCAGACATGCTGGACTTTGGGCAGGCAAAATATTATTGTCCATCCAGACAGAAAAGCAGTGGCCAACCATGCACTTGAGGAATATGTGGATTAACTCAGGCCAACATATTCTTTGTGATGGAATGAAAGAGAGACATAATCTCCTGTGTTGTAACTGGACAGTGACATGTTGTACTGTGGCCTCCAGAAAAAGTCCAGCCATCAGCAGGTGGATCTACGGCATGTTAATCATTTGTGTTTGGTCTGAAATGGTGTCAGTGGAACAACACCCAGAATTGCACCTGGCCTCAACTACTAGAGGTTTGGCAGAGAGTATAAAGTTCCATGGAAAAGACAGCTTGGATTTATGAAGAAGAAAATAAACATGTGGTAGAAAAATAGAAGCCAGTGACATCCCTGAATGTTTCTGATGAGCACTTAAAGATTTTTCTCCTTTGCAGAAAGAAAAAAAGATACTGCTAAAGTAAGCAGGGGACAGGAAAATGCAGCTGCTTGAAAGAAAATTTGGATCCATTCTAACTTTCAGCACAGAAGATCAATTTCATTCAAAAGCCAAATCAGGAGGTTAGAACATGAAACAGTTATTCCTCACTGACTGTATAAAAGCAACACAGTCAAAATCCAGATGGTTTCCTCTATCAAATTTTATGGGGCATTTCCAGATCAGACTGCCCTGACATCACCTTGGACCTTTACACAAAGATGACACCTGCAGTTTAAGTTCCTCTGAAGGCCTGGCAGTCCGGAGTTCAAGTATATTATAGCTTGTGTCATATCACATATTGCCATATGAAAAGAACATCAAAGACCTGCACACAAGCAACACAAGTTTCTTTGATTCACCTTGTGCAGCTTTGAGTCTTCGGTTATAAGGATGGCTTTTAAATTAAATAGAGGCAACAATGCATATAGCAGACATAACAATGGATGAAATAGGTTTCTATCTGTGGAACACATGCATTCCATGGCCATTGCTTACTCCCCAAGCATTGCTTTGTAAGTTCATTACACAAGAGACTTTGCATTCTATTGACCTCTCACTTTGTCCTAAAGCTGGGAAAATGTGGGACAAACAGTACAGATCACTTCTGACAGCCTTTCAACCTCAGAATTCATTAACCGGTATTCATAACTGCTACTTTCCAAGGACCACACATAAATATATCAGCATATCATCAGACCAAATGATGGTCTGATGCCTGTAGAACAGCTCCCTGCACTCTAAGTTCAGTGCTGAGTACTTCATAGTATATGACTGAAGGGTTGGCTGAGAAACGGCTCTTCTTCTCCTCGGCATTCCCACCCTAAATTCTTGAATTTGACAGAGCATAGTGCATTAGTTTGCACTAGTGAATCAACCCAGATTTTAGACTGTGCACACATCTGACCCTTTTTAAAACCAACCCAGGATTTGGCCTGTGGTTTGAAGCATTCACAACTTTCCAGGATGGGTGTCCCTTTGGAAAGAAAGCTGGTTTCAGATTTAGACCTCCCTTTTCTATAGACTGTATTACAGCAACATAGCCAATAGAATAATTTCATTTTCAAAACATTTCTCCCTTCCTCTTCCTATCTCAGCATTCTCAATTGTCATCTTCTAATAGTCGCGATACAGTGTGAGCTTTTTACCCCTTCAGATTGTGCTGTGCTGAGCCAACACTGTTATAGTATATGCTGAAAAAGGGAATATACACATCCATAGCAACAATACCCAAATTTCCTTTCCACAGTCCATGTCAATATAAACCAAATAAACATGTTCAACTGTAATTCTGCCTGTCTGTTTTGGATTATTGTCATTTGGATAAATTATTACATCATACTAAATTTTGGATGAGGGAAGATTTGGAGGGACAAATGGACTTAGAATAACAAGGATAGCAAAAACGAAGTTTCCAAACTGGGAAACATTTAGATGGGAAATGTCAGAATTGCACCAGCACACAAATATAATCAAGGCTTTATAGGAAAAGCACAAAAATACAAAGGTTGGGCTGTTTCTGGCTTAAATTTGGCTTGGAATGTTTTGTTCCGTTTTGAAATGAAGCAAACCATGAACATTCCAGTCCCCAAAGAAATGTTGTTATAATCTTACAAGCATCTGAAATGCTGGACTTCTCATGGAAAATGGAACCCAATCTTTGCCACCAGCTCCGTAACAACATAAACAAAGGGAGTTTGACTCACAGTCCAAGTTGGGACGGTAAATATTTGAGAGGAACTCCTCTTCCATTCTTCCATCCTCTCATCCATGTTAAATAAATTACTTTAGCAAGTGGAATCACAGTTGCTCCAGTCCTTGCCAAGCTATGCTCTTCTTACACAGAGCCATTTCTCCTGGTAAGTTACAGATGGTTTGACAATTCTAAAAATGATGCCTTCACAAATTGAAGACACAGTTCTATAATGCTATGCATCCATCAGATTTCTACCTATACTACCTTTAATGAATCAGTGACAAACAAGATGAAGTTCTTTTACAATACCTATAGCATCAGACATTTCTAAAAGAGGGGAGCTTGGGATTATTCTAAAAGGGAAGTAACTCAGAACAGCAATGTCTCAATTCAACTTATTAAAAAATAAATTCTACACATCATATGACTTTCCTGTTACCATTAATGCCAACCAATGAAATGGAATGAGGAAACCCATGATAATACCATTTCATGTTCTGAGTGCTCTTGCAGCCAGTGTTGATCATTCTGCAAGGGTGGTAGGGAGGACAATCCAAGTGAGCTCAGTAAAGTTTCTAAGGTTGGAACTAGGGCTCCATTATTTATTTATTAATCTTCTAACCTGTCTTATGGCTCTATGTGTATGTTAGAGCAACAAAAACATCTCTAAAAAATCCTATGGTCATTTTGACTTTGTCTAGTGGCCATAAGGAATATGCTACTCGACAGAACTTAAAAACACAACAGCACACAACAGTAACCACCCCAACAGATCCATTTGCACTGCAAAGGCATGGTGGAATAAGAGTGCCTTTGTCTATTAGCGGAAAGGACAGAAGAAAGCAAGCCAACCCTGGGCTTCCTTAGTAGGGAATTCTGCAACCATCAAGAAAGCCCCTCTTCCCGGTCACATCACCATCAAATACATCTCTGAACACTTGTAATTAATACCATTATGTTAAGAATTCCCTCTCCAATTTCTTGAAGTCAGCCAGGAGCTTTTACCCTCTTGTTTTAAAAAAATATTCTCATTGTTTTCTTTTATGCAACTTTGGTTTGTGCTCATGATTTCCTCCCCTAAAGTTACAAATCAAAGAATCTTCAGAATCTGATAATGTACTGATGTTCTGTCCTTCCCATCTTTGGACAGATAGGCATTTCAGTGTCCCTTGGTTACATCCCCCAGTCCATGAGGCTAAATATGTTTTTCCCCTTACAGGGTGGATAAAACCTCTCTGTCCAGAAAGCTGTAACTGCCAGACATGATTGAAGGAGAGAGACTGATTTCTGCCATTCCTGTTAGCAGACACACGATTTCCCCTTGCTCAGAAAGCATCCTGCATCCCCTGTTACAAACCTACAGGAAAAATGGATGGGAACTGGTGCACAGAATTCCTTAGTGGGGATGTAATTTATTAGCAGAGGCTGATGCCCTTAACTTGTTCCAGATTGGAGCTTGTATATTTTGATGTTGGCTCCTTCCGCCATCAGCGGAAGATCAGCCATGTAGCTCCCACAGGTCTAAGGTGTGCGCAGCAGGAAAGCACACTTCTGCACCTGGGAAGGTCATGTCCTCAGCTATGAAACTGCTGATCAGGGGTATCCAGAAGTATTAATCAGCCTGTAAATGACATCTTCCCTAGTACTCCTCCACAGCTGTGTTTTGGCCCCCTCCCTAAGGTGGCTATTTCAGTAACTCCCAGATTAGAACAGTGCTTAAGTTTATAGCAGTGACAAGCCCTCCTGTCTCCATGTGCTTGTTTCTTCAGACACACACACACACACACAACCAACAACACAGATGAACCAGACATGCATATTAAAGCATGGTTAGCAATCACACTTACAGCTTTTAAAATAATGTAATAGAAAATGCACATTTTTCAGCGGGACTGCAATGCAGAGCAGTTTAATACTTTGCACACTAGTTATGATCCAGATGCACCAATAAGCCTTTGGGAGCTTTTCCTGCAATTATAATTGTCATGATGCGGAGGAAGAGAGAATCTTCACTGAAAGGGAGCAGTAGGTTACATTCTGTTCCTGCTTGCTGGTGTCTCTGAAAAGCTTCACCAATTTGTTTGTAACATTGTTAAAACTACAGATGCTGCTGCTAACCATGTGATAACATCTGGTTTGGCCAACAGCTGTCACACTTGTGATCACACTTATTTTTCACAACTTCATGGAGAAAGGCAACTTGCAAAGTACAGTGGCTCCTTTGAGCAGTTTCTATGAATGCATTTCCAGAAAGTTTTATTTATTTTTTCTGAAGCTCATTCTTGTGGAAGATGCTAGAAACCAGGGCTTTTTTTTTGTCATCGAACGCACCGGAACGGCGTTCCGGCACCTTTTTTTCCAAGGGATTTTACGAAGTGATTTTGAATCGTAGCAGATCAGCAGCAAACATCATTAACATAGTGCCTGCAGGCTGCTTTTGTGTCTGCTATCTGATAGTGAGATAGTGAGGGCGCTCCGCTGTGTGTGTGGTGCGGTCGCGGCGACGTGAGTTTCGGCACTTTTTTTTTTTTCTTACAAAAAAAGCTCTGCTAGAAACCATCGGCTGTATCACACAGGGGCTGGAATATTGAGATCCATGCACAGTGTGACCTGCTTGTGGAAAGCTTCTGCAGCAGTGCTGTACATTCCAGGCTATGCTAGCACAAAAACACACAGATGTTATCTGTGCAGAGCCATTAGAGGAATATGTCTAGATGTTACAGAACAAGTGTGAATTAGTAGCCCCAAAGAGGTTATGTACAGCACTGTCTGGGCAAGGTCTGTCTGGCTGCTGTCACTTCTGGTGGGGAACATTATCCTTTAACCAGTGTTAAAGCGAGTTCACCCTACTTTTGTACACAGAAAGTACGTAGTGGTGGTGGGGATTTGTGGTTTGTCTCTGGCAGCAAAACACTTGGAAATTTTAGATGTTTATAAGTGTCATATTCTTAGCACTGAACTCTTGTCATGCTTTTGCTTAGCATCCTTTTTCAACAATGCTTTATAGCCTAGACACAGAGCATGTGCATTTCTAGGGTAGAAGTAGCTGGTTCAACCCTGTATCTCCTAACCTAAGGCAATCGTTCTGGGCAGTCAGTAACTACATGCATACTTCGTAACTAGATCAAGCAATGTCCTGCTAACTCACATTTCCAGAACATAATCTTCTGTTTCAGAAGATGAATACACCAATAAACCACTAGTTAATGTGGCAGATGCTATTTACTAAGCTGTTATAAAGGTACCAGTTAGCCATGGAATTCCTGCTTGGAGAATGTTTATTCTTTCTTGCCAATGAAATCTGTAAAGCCATGGTTATTGGAAGCATTATCATTCACTTAATTTTTCCATATAACATGAAGCATTATATTCCAACTGCACAATTTAAAAGAAGCTAGAAATACCAATCATTTTTAGGATAAACCACATAGTTCCTTAGTTCTTGAGACACTGTTTAGTGCATATACATTACATAGTGGTAATAAATGTAGCTGTGAAATTCTATACTGTCTACTCAGAAGTAATCCCATCGCAGTTGTTGGGATTTACTTCCAGGTAATGCAAATACGATCGCAGTACAATCATATACATGTCTAACTCAAAATAATCCTTATTCAGTTTAATGGGGCTTTCTTTCAATGAAGTTGGCATAGGATATCTGCCTAAAACTTCCATAATAATTAATATGAATTAATTAATATTAATATGATAGGCTACTGACTGAAGTGATTTCCTTTATCAGGCACCACCCAGAAAGAAACATTGATTTCGTACGTCTGTTTTGCATGTTCAACTGGTACAACTGTGTGACAAGAAAAGGCTGCCAACAGAAAGCAAAGTAGCAGGGAAGCACTTACAGTACCACAAGGCTGGTGAGGTTCTGGAAGGCGTAGTCAGGAATATGCCAGATCTGATTGAGTGCCAGTGTCATGGCCTGAAGTGCTGGCAGGTTATTGAGTGCTTTGACAGGGATCTCTTTCAGGGCATTGTCATCCAGCCAAAGGTGGCGTAAGGAGGGCAGCCCCTCAAAGCACTTCTCTGGTACCACAGAGATCAAATTTGCATCCAGACGCCTAAAGGAGAGAAGCATTTAACAAATCAGACACAAGCCAAGCACAGCACAGGAAGTCTATCATTTGATAGCTAGAAACTTGATTAAGTCATGAGAGCACCAACATTCTTCATAGACACCCAGGAGGTAGGACTGACACAAACAAATGGCTGTTTTCATCTGCTCAGAAGGAATACCCATGGGTGCTTTTAGACAACGTTTCTATCATGCCGTTGCCCTGCTTCATTCAGCAAATTTTACAGGAGATCCAGATGTTGTCATCTTTGGCTTGTAGCCTCCTGCATTTTCCTACCACTACTTCTGTCTTTTTCCTTAGAGCAGAAAAATGGTTGGGGGTCAGGGGATGCCAGAAAAGCTTCACGGTGGGGGCTGGAAGCTGTCCATTTCTGTCCAACTGTCCACTGGTGCTTTGATATGCCAAAAAACAAAAAGGGGGGGGAGGAGGGTCTGTGAAGTTTAAACCCCAGGAATAGCATGGCATGAACACTGCTTTGATATCTATCGTCTATCTCCTCTGTGGGTGGAAGGATCTCCATGAAATCACACTGCATCGATGTGGCTCCAGCTCAGACTTGTAAGGTGGAGCAAATTTTAACCAAGGGCAGTTCTGCACAAGTTCAAGCCCAGTGCAAATCAAGGGAAAGCGCCTTAATGGAAGCACCTTTAGAAACCTGGAGCAGCTATGCAGAATCCATCTTCCCATGTCATATCCTGATGTCTGACTGGCTGGTCAGTGCCTCCATTTGCAAAAGTAACTGGATCTGACTCAGAATTGAGAATCAGAGTCTACAAGGGTGCTGCAGGTGCCATATTTCTGTCCCAAAACAGGTGTTCCTGAATGGAAACTGGATCCATTCAGGATCCATTCCTGAATGGAATGGTGCCTGGCCAATTTGGAAGAAGGCAATCACTGTCTGGAGATTTGAGAGATGCTACATCTCTCTGGATCAACTGTTCATTCAAATGCTCTGTGTGCCAGCGCTAAAAGTAGAATGGAGCTTTAAACAATATTGCTGGATCATAACTTACTAACAACCAAATAGCCATCATCCACCAAAGCCTGACACTTCATCTAGACTGAAATTACTGAAGAAATTCTCTTTGTCTGTTGAAAACTTATTCAGAGAACTGAGAAAAAGAACACTCAGTTTTCAGGATGCAACATTAAGCTCTTACCAGGGCCGTCTGAACAGCATTATGGGCCCCGGGCAAAGCAGTGTACTGGGGCCCCTACGACAACTACAACTACTGTTAATTTTGGAAGGTTTCCACTTTTCCAAGGGTTAACATTCACAGATTAGTATGGGGCCCACGGGCAAGTGCCCATCAGGTCCATGCGTTAAGATGGCCCTGGCTCTTACGAATTGACAGGTTGGTGTTTTCTGATGCCCTTCCTTCATGGATGCTGCAGTTCAGTTCCATGTGATATACCATTATAATGAGCAAGAAATCAGCTCTTCCCCTCCCCCCTCTACACAACAGATACATGCCCTCCTTTGTGTACAAAAAAATAATTGTGTAACAGTTTGCTCCGCCATGTTGTCTTCACAGACCCTTTCCCCAACTGAGTGATAAACAATAGGTCTGTCTCTGAACTTCATGTCCGGTAGAACAGCAAGCTGCACTTAGGTTTGTTTTATTTCATCAGAGGAAAGAAAGGAGCATTCACAGATTTGGAAGTTTTCTACATGAGGTTATTAATTGGCTGTTTAAACACTGTATCTACTTTCTATTTCATTGTACAGCTGAGATCTGAGCACTATACAAGCAGCATCCTTTGTCTGTCTTTTTGCTGCGTAACCTCTTGGTGGCACTGTGGTATAGCAGAACAACAAAAATACTCCAGAGCAAAATGCACTTTCTTTCATTTTTTGCACAATTAAATGGCATATAGTTACTGTTCTTAAATAGCTCACCAAACGTGTTGGTTAGACACAGAAGAGAAACTAGAGGGTCACAATGCTGTATAAAGGACCCATAAACAACTGGGAGTACAGAATGATGAATGCAAAACAGATGCTCTGTGCAGCATTTATAGATGTTTGCATAAAGTGTATGATTTATTATTTATTTTGTTTGGTTTTGTTTCTATATTGCCCAATCACTGAAGTTTTCTGTGTGGTTAACAGCAACACATAAAATACAATAAGAATACAATATAAAATACACAATACATTGAAATGTTCATAACATTTTATTACAAAATTTAAAAGCCAGATTTAAACATCTAATTTTAACAAGAACAACAGTTAGCACAAGTAGAAACAACAAAATATAAGCAGTATACTCTAAATATAGTATTTAGAGCCATTATAGAGGGCAGTCTTGCTCTTGCACTGGAAGGATAGTAGAGTTGATACCAGGCAGGCCTTAGTGGGGAGCTTGTTCCATTGGCGGGGGCCACCACTGAAACGGCCCTCCTGCTAGTTGTCTGACCCTTCCTTGTTGCTTGCAGACAGGTGCAGGCCCTGCATATTGATGGTAGCATCTGGTTAGACTTTTGCTGGTGGAGATGTTCTTTCATGTATTTTGGTGTGGAGGACCTTTCACCAGAATTCATTAAGAGTGGAAGAGCTCAGAGAGAAGTGAAGGCTTGTGATTAAAGAGATGGGTTTGAGTCTTGCATCTGTTGCTGCATGGTCTGAGCCACTGGTTTTCAACCGTCTGTCTGTGGACCAGCGCCGGTCCACTGGTGGATTCCTGCTGGTCCATGGGGTGGGGGTCACATCCTGCTTGCTGCAGACTGGCAAGGGGGCTGGCTGTGCTCCACCACCTCTTCCTCAGTTGGCATCATGTTTGCAGGGGGCTGAGTCAGTGGGGAGAGGAGAGGTGGCTCAGTGGGAGCTGGCTAGGAGCCACGCTGTGCCAGGTCCACTCTCTGGGCAGGGCCTCAAGGACTGGGCTTTTTTCTGCTGTGTTGTGGTGGGGGAATTGTTGTGGCAGGGTTGTGTTGATTGTGCTTTCTTGGCCAATCTGTGCTGGGCTTTGGGTGGGTGGGGTTAGTTGTATTTCATTATTAAAACAAGTTATTTCTTGTGTCAGTGTCAATGCAGTGCTTCGTCTCTTGGAGGCAACACTGCAGCCACAATTATCAAGCGTTCTTGTGGGGAGGCAGCAGAAGATTTTGCATTGGCCTTGTTTGAATTGAATGATGCTCTCTGGAAGCTTCAGTAGTATTTGATTGCATTTGATTTGGTATTTTGTTCTTTCTTTGGCATTTTTTGTTGCATGGTTTCTGGTGGTTTTGCAGAATTTTCATTTTTTGGTATTGCATTTGGAAACTAATACATAGAATACTGCATTCTGTGCGTGGTGCTTTTTGTTTCTGTCTCAGTGGTTGCTGAGGTGGTTTTCCTGTTTTTGCCAATCCCCAGCTGTGGAAAGGTTGAAAATCCCTGGCCTGAGTGACTGAGCACAGAGGGGGAGGTGGGGAGGGAACGACAGCGACAGTGGCTGGGTGGGTATTCTCTGTCCTTGCAATGAAGTGTGTAATTATGAATGCTTTATCCTTAAAGGTAAAGATTTTTTGTCCCAGTGTGAGTGCTAACAGTGCTTAAAAATAATGTCAAAACCTCGCACAGGTGTGACACTAACACAAGCAGAAGCCGGACTTTTCTGACTAGCGTGATGGGCTGCGGTGTCTCTTCTGTACTACAGAAATGCTCCTTGTCCAGTGTTGTCCGTCTGGTTCAACTGACTGGAGGACACACGCACACGCACTTCCCTGCAGATGCTGGTTTCACTGCTTTATGATATCCTCTCTCTTTTATTGCCCCAACTGCAGTTTGGGTTGGAAATAAGGTACTGGCTCTGGCAGGTTCTGCCCCACCCCTACTCCTGCTGAAGTGTACAAAATCAAGGTGGGACAAGTTGCTTTGGAAAACTTATCCATACAGATAAAGGCTTGGTAACAACATGCAATGGAATGAACAGCTCCAGTGCAAATGGAATTAAGAAAAACTCGATTAGGACAATAAACTCAGCAACAACAGCAGCAGCAGCAACTTTTTTTTTTATCATGAGTATGCCAGTTTGCTGTAAACCAAATGCTCTTTTCTCTTACCTTTCATGACTTATAGGGCCAAACCACACATTACTTTAAAGATGTAGCTAGCAGTATGCCTTTTTCATGTTTTACTTTAGTGTAAGTACAACCCCACCCCCAATCCTGATTGAGGTTATAGTTGGGGAAAGGGTTAAATCCTCATATGGACCTGATAGGGTTCTGGACCCCTGGACTTATTCTAGAATAATAACACTAATTAAAAGAAATTTAGCTACTACCCACATTAAATGTAGCTTTAAAATAATGCCTGTCTTGGATCTCAGTTGTGGAAGTCCTGTGCGGAAAAAAAAAGTTTCTTGGCATGAGAAATAGCCACCGGAGGTCCTGCTGGGTCTGATCTATGTCCTGCCTGTGACATGGCCAGGTTAAGCAAAGGAGATAACTCAGCATTCCTTCCCCCAATCTGTGTACCTGGAAGATCCCTAGATATGTGTAGCTGATGTTAATATCATGTCACATGTCCAAATGACCATGTCTCTCCAAAATCCAACAAATAAAGCACCTAAATGTTAGGGATTCATTCTTTCATTGAGTGAATGAATGAATATGAGACAAATAGTTCTGCTGCAGAGGTACTCAAAGCATCTTAGAATCTGAGCTGATTTCGGTCTGAAAGAGTCTGAGGTGAAATGAACTCTGGAAAATATTTGGTCACCACCAAGGAAATCTGGAGGTATTCTTTTGCTTTAAAGATGGAGTTGATCAATTTTTAAGCCTTCCACAAGCATCTTCATGCTCTCTATTACTGGAAGAAGCTTGGGGGGATGCAGGAGAAAGAGAAGCAGAGGAAGAGGCGTAGCTTTCTGATGGATATCTGTAGCTTCCAATCAGACAATGGCTTTACCAAGGCTCTACTTTTTACCTCCCATCACATTGTTTCAGGGAAGGACATAGAAGAAACTCATAAAAAGTTGTCTCAGTGTTTTCACTCAAGA